GCGACTGTTTCTTCGCGGCGCGGAGGTGGGGGCTGGGCCCGGCGGGGAAGGAAAAGTACGCAGGCCTCGAGCCTCGCGCAATTCACGGAGGCCGCTTACGCCGTCGGCGCCGGGAGCCGCTGCCTTTAGGCAGGGGGAGGGGCGCGTGATTGGCATAGGGCGGGCGGAGCGCCTTCCCGCCATTGGCAGTTAGGGCGTTTATGCAACGGCGTGACGTCAGGGCAGACGCGTTTGTCGGAGGGAAGGTTCTAGAAAAGCGGCGGCAGTAGCAACAGCGCCGGGTTGGTGAGCGGACGTGTTCATCGCCGCGGTGTTTCCCGAGGAGCGGCACTTCTCATCGCAGCGCCAGGACGAGTCCGGTTCGTGTTCGACCGCGGAGATCTTTCTCATCTCGCTCGGCTGCGGGAAATCGGGCTGAAGCGACTGAGTCCGCGATGGAGGTAACGGGTTTGAAATCAATGAGTTCTTGGAAAGGGCATGGCGAGGCCGTCGCTGCCTCAGTGGAAGCTGGCCACCTTTCCCCGTGGGAGAGCGTCGGCGAAGTGGGCGCGCCCCCGGAGCGGCTCTTTGTGGGGTGTTTTTGTGGGTGTTTGGTGCAGGCCTGGCTCACCTCCTGCAGCCTCTCGGCGCCATTTCCTTTGACTGGGGTGGGGGGGATGGGCAGCCTCACATGGCGGACGCAGTTCCCCCTTTCGGGGAAGTGGGGCGCGGAGGTGGGGGGCCCTTTCGACTTTTTTAACGAGCGGGCCGACTTGCGAGCCCCGGCGTTCTGGGGAGGGTTGGGGACCCCGGCGGGTTTGCCGCGCTTCCCCTCCCCCGCTCTCCCGGGAACCGGATTTGGCGGCCGCCATCTTCGTTTTTCTCTTTCGTCGCAGTGTCTTTCTTTTCCCTTCTTGAAACCCCAGCTCTGTGGCCCGTTTATGAGAGGATAGGCGTAGCTAGCGGGTCCTAGGTTTCCGCGGGCTGTTTCCCCATCGTTCGGAGGTGGGTGCCGCGCGCCCCGGGGAGCCGGCCTCCTCGCCGCCCTGCGCCCCGCGTTGCAGCCTCGCTCCTTCCCCTCGACGAAATGGCGCCATTGCGCTGGCGGCCGCGTGGGGGTGGGGCGGGCCGGGCGGGCTCTGCGTCCCCAGCACGTGTGCGTTTGAGTAACGGACGGTGGAGGTTCGAGCCCGCGGCGCTTCGGAGACGCGCTTTGCTCGGCGGAAGAGCCCAGCGATAGCGGAGCAGTAGATGGGCGCAGCCTCGGAAAAGGCGGGTGGCCGTGGGCACGGAGGTGATCACCGGGGGGGGAAGAGAAGACTCGTTTCGGAATCCGTTTACTGTTCCGAGGGATTCCGTTTACATGGTAGGATTTATTCCCGTTTAGAATAATTTTGCTGGAGAATTTTTTTTTTCCGGATAAAGATGCGGATCTGTAGAAAAGACAAGCCACAAGAGCCAAGTGAGATAGAAGCGATTTTACTTTATCATTGGTTATATCCGGGCTCCATATTTGACTGCGTGTATTGCTATGTATGACACTGTTTCAGGCTTAGGTCGCTTTGTTTTTGAACTTTGTCACTTGCTTTTCTCATTTCTGTCTGCTATCATGGTTGAACGTTACATTGATAAGCATAAGGTCTCAAGCGAACGGGGTCTGTCTACCCGGTTATTTTCTTTGACCTTAAAATCACGCTTATAAAATAACTTTTATAATCGATAGTGAACATCGGGTAAGTTTGGAAAGGGAGGTAAGTAATGAGTTTTTGCCCTTTGGTAGTGAATTTAAGAATTGTTGTAGATGTACTTTGTATTTTAAATTTCCGTAATTTGAGTCTAGAGATTTTTCTATTGACAATGTTATAAAATTAGCTTTAAAATCCAAATAGCAATCTTCAAATGTTGGGTTTTTTTTTACCATTTTCACGTTAGTTTAGTAATTTTTAGTTTTCAGAGTCAGACTATTATAGAGCTGGGAGGTTTTTAATGTATTGACCCTTCTTGAGGTGTTTCCTTTGGAGTAGTGGGGAGAAATATCATGCTTGAGGAACCTTCAAGGAATCGATAGAGCAATTTGATTTAGAGAATTGAAAACTACTTGTACTAAAAATTGTTCGGTTTTCTAGTGTGGTTTACACACTTCGATAGGCAGAAATTCTTTCTGCTGAGTTAGTCTAACTCTGCCTTATGGATAGTTTTTAAAAAAAAAAAATAAAAGGTCCTACTTGGAATTTTATTAATTGCCTACCCAAAGAAAAGGGGCTGTTAATAAAGCAGTTTGCTTACTGATTTGCAGATGTTAGGACTTTGTAGCTCATCCTCTCCCCTTCTGGTACTTGAAACTGTAAAACTTAATAGGATGACCATTTAAGTTCCGTAGATTGTGTTAATATGTTAAAAAAAGCCCCGAATGAAACCGTTGGCATAGAAAGCGTTTTTATTGTAAAAGATGCTTTTTTTAGTGTATGGTTTCATGTTAATATTTTATATTAACAAATACTGCTTTTAGGTATTTTTTTATGGACTTAAAATAATGAGGTAGTTGTGTTTAAAAAATAAAGATTAATATATTTTTAGGACCTTTTTTAAGTCGAGTATTTAATCTGTGTAAGTATAAAATACATGAAACACCTCTGTGGTATTGAGCACATCTTGAATGTTACATTCTCCTTGTCGTACCCCCATTTGTAGTTTGTACATGATGGGGCGAGTGGTTTTTTGTTCTTGAGATTCAATACTATGACCACTAGAGGGGGCGTGTAAGGGAATGTTAACCTTCCCCTCCTGGTTACCAAATTCTGAAAAGCATAGATTATGGACTGTGAAGAGCCTGACTTTATATTTTTAAAGATATGTGTTAAGATGGTTTGGGATATGTAGGAAAAACTGAAAATTAACTAATGACCACGGAATATTCTTTCTCCCCAGAAAGCTTTTGAAAAGTAAATTATAAGTGCTTAATGTGTCAAGTAATTTTAGATCAAGTATTAATGATTCTGAAACTTGTATAGTTCAGCTGAGACAATTTTTTTGGTATAGCACAACTAATAATGCAGTTTAACATATGGTTTAAATTTGATGTAAGTTTTTTTTCTCCCCCCCAGAAAACTTTAGAAACTGTTCCTTTGGAGAGGAAAAAGGTACTCTGCCAGCAGGTCACCTCATATTTAAGAATTTAATTTCCTGCATACCTAGAGGAAATGTAAATAAAAATTGAAATGGTGTTTTCCTTTACAGAGAGAAAAGGAGCAGTTTCGTAAACTCTTTATTGGTGGCTTAAGCTTTGAAACAACAGAAGAAAGCTTGAGGAACTACTACGAGCAATGGGGGAAACTTACAGACTGTGTGGTAGGTTAACTCTGGAAGTCTTGACTAAAATACTAGCCACTCCTTTTCTGGCTTAAAAAAAATTTGCAAAAGGAATCAATTGGCGGAAAATGTCATCATGATGTGATTGATTCATGGCTAAAATTTCTTGTCTGGTTTAAAGGTAATGAGGGATCCTGCAAGCAAAAGATCAAGAGGATTTGGTTTTGTAACTTTTTCTTCTATGGCTGAGGTTGATGCTGCCATGGCTGCACGACCCCATTCTATTGATGGGCGAGTGGTTGAGCCAAAACGTGCTGTGGCAAGAGAGG